TTGAACTAATGCTTCGCCATTAATTAGATTTCTGATATCAATGGCAACTTAAAATTCTACCTTATGTGGAGTCATTACGAAAATAAAGTTAATTAAATTAAAATTTATCCGTTAATAAATGCCGCCATAAATAGTAAATTGAATTTATAGTGAAATTTTACTACGAAGCGATGACAAGCGGATCATACTGTCAGTTTCGATTAACAAATATCTACAGATTTCAAGCACTTCCGGTAACGGTGTATCTGTAGCTACATTAAAACTAAGTAGAGTTCAGAGCGATTACCTGTAAATTTCATTGAATATAGAAATTATTACTATTAAATATAACTTTACAGAATGGTTTTTAAATCATATCCGTAGCTGTCAAATAGATAGTTGCTACAAATTCTATCATAACACACCAATATGATAAATTCAATTAGACAAGTAGATTTAATGAGTAAAATATTCAATAATGCTTAATTAGTTCTTGTCTTACGTCCCGTCTTGAAGGAATTAAGGCTACTGGAACTCACAAATGGCACAATAGGGGTTAAAACTCATTCTTTTAACATCAGATCATACGTAACATCCAATCTTAATGTCATACTTAAGCGGACTTAAAAAGTAATACAGTAAACTTTAACTGCAATTTCACAACTGTATAACAAGTAGTTATGGATTATAGTAAGTTCTTATGAAACACGAAATATCCATAAAGATGAAATAAAAAAAGACTTCAATCTAGAATATGTCTTGTTTAAAGTCGCAAGCGATGAAAGAACTTACAAATGAGAAGAAAAAAAATTCAAGTATTACTACCGAAAATTAATCAGTGTTGCTGCTAATTCGTTCTTACGCGACTAAAGCGCAATTATAAAAGTATAGAAACCAGCAAATAAAAACAATCTAAGATCAGATATGTTACGACTTTACATAATACGGTGCGGTAAATTTCTAAAACTATACAATACGTGTAATATATGAAACAGACCTTGATATTTAAATTTGTCTTAAATAAATTCATATTAATTTGAACTTAATTCTTTATGGAGATATATTATGACAACAACACTAACTGCGTAGAGAGGGAAGCTATATTCTTATGAAGGGCTACGAAAATAAAGTTTAGGGTAACCTAATGCTAAAGTCTATAAACGAATCGGCATATTACACTCATAATACGGGTATTATAGCTTATTACGAGTACCTTTTAAGAAGAGATCTACTTAATTATAGATATTAAACTAGACCAGTTAGTATTTGCATACGCAAGTATAATCATTCGTAGATCATGCTATGGATCAGTTTGCAATAGATGTTTTCGTAGTTTTTATTTACTGGAGAACGTAAATAACATAAAATTTTAGAATTACGATTATCATTTATACGCTGAAGGAGTCTCCCTAATTAAGTATTGTCTTTTACGTAAGTACATGCTGCATAAAATAAAGATGGCGGGCCTAATGTAAGTTAAAACTTAGACCTTTCAGCTAAATAATCTTAACATCAAATTTCTTGAATGTCATGATACTTTCAAGCAACATTAATATCAACGTAGAGAATATACTATGAGGCGATAATTTCATTGCAGGAGCATATAGCAACATTTTTACCTGCTATTCTAATACTTATCATTAATTTCAAATTAGAAATAAGAAGTCAAGTATTCTGCTAGAACCAGCAAGATTGTCTACGTTCGTTTTTCTATACATCATCTAGATAAGCGAGATATATAGTGGCAAACTACCGAGCATCTTCATTATCACTGTACAGTACTGTAGTCTGTTACTAACAAATGATAACTTGGATAAATGATAGCGAAGATTTTTTTCTAGCGTTTAACAATCCCAACACACGAAATTACTTCAATCCCCAGTAGGTTACATAATATATTGAAAATAACTTTTATTACTTCAACTATCGTGCATTATAATCCCAATTTGCAATTTTTCATACGACTACGATAACTATTATAATCTATATGCTTTCAAACTGCACAATTAATTATGAAAATTTTACAGTTGAAGTAGTTGTATGCAAATAAAATATTCTTACCTTTGCTTAGACGGAAATGCAAAGTTTTTTTACTATTGACACTTCAACACACATTTTAATTTAACTAACAAATTTGTTGCGGATCGGTTACAAAGGACGTTTGCAATACGGTTACTGTTAATCAGATAGAGCTTACTGAATAGGTATATAAAGGTTTTATTCACCGTAAATATAATAATTTCGATAGCAATTGATTTTTATTACAAATAATGGACATTAACTGCTACAAATTGATTTAATTAAATAATACCCTATGGGCTATAGACTAGTAATACTACCACTTAAGCTTAGGATTAGAATAATGCTTTCAATTTCTATTAAAGAATGAATTACCTTATGACCGCACTAAATCTTATAGTTATTTATTAGTGCAGAGAGTATTGTAAAAGAAGTAAATAAATCCAATTACTCCAGAATAACTGATTTACATTAAAATTAAATCATTTATTTAACCTTCGAATTTAGATGGAATATGAGATCATCGTAATTTATGAGCTCTATAATTAAATCACTGGTAACATATTTTAAATAAATAAATTTAAATACATTTTATTAAGGACTAATCGAGTATGTTAAGCTTTATTCCGGAGTTCGAATACCTTGAATATTGATACAAATACACACAAAGTGTCAAACAGATTCCTTGATTCCATGTACTCTTTACTTAATCTGTTTCTTGGTGGCACTTTCACATTGATTTAGTGATTAGATACGCATATACTTGGGTCTACTAAAATCAGATTTATTGCATTCTATGCCAACTATTAGCTGCTAGAGAGCATATCGAAGTATTATTAATATTCATATAAATGCTATTCAATTTTTAAATGCGAATCTTGCTACTGTGATCAATAAATTCACGCAGTAATCAGCATATTGTAAGCGTGATTAAGTAAAAATACTAATAATCAAAATAATATATTTGAGAAATTGACCTTTAACCGTCGAGACAAAGTTCTTAAGCTAGATTCTAGTTAATCAAAACCGCTAACTTCTATGCATGTAAAAAATAGATTTAAAGTATTTCTGATTATCTACAACGGCAAGTAGCAGTTAAAGTAGGTTACAGCTCAACAGCTTTATCGATGTGTGAGTTTATACAAGGTAGCTTATTTGACATCGATATTAATAGTTTACTTAATGTGAAATACTGATAATATCAATTTAATACTCATAACTGTTTAATGAATGATAAACATTTTCGTGTTTCCCGTATCGGAGCAAATTGAGTTATCATTATTACCGCAAGATGATTTATAGGAAGTTTATATCTAGCCTTGATACCTTTATAACATCAAACCTATTCTTAATTAAGATCCATTTTCTAAGGTTCGATTAATAATTAATAGGTCAGGACTAAGAGAATTTCTGCTACAAGAATTTTGCTATCCTATTTGCCATAACAATAACTGCAAAAGAGATCTTCAATTCGCCTTATAATTTGAAGTAGTTCTTTACAACGCCAGCGTAGTACTGGTTGAAGAAAATCTTTCAGTTCGCATTTGGATTTATCGAAGGTAGACCTAAGACAGTACCCACAGAACTCTTAGAGGATACTGTATTAAATAGCCTAAAGCGGAAATACTAGCAGTATACCGGATACAAGATTTTTTAGTTTGCGCAAGCACTTGCTCCGTTTATACAACTATTGGCCAAAAATATCAAACCTAGATTGATATCGAAGAGAACATATATTGTGACGTCATAGAATAATTCATCCAAATTTAGAAGTTATATTTCCAATTTTCTAGCGCCAATAAATCTAGTGAGAAACTTCTGTTAGACTAGTTTAAAATTAATATTTCAATCTACCTATATCTAAATAAGAAGCTACTCATGACTCAATATACTATCATCTGCTAATATTACAGTTTAGGAGATCGTAGTTATGACTAGCTTCTGCCCTCGACATTTCGCATGATCTTGTAGGAAATGAAATATGAACATAACCTATAATATACTCATTATGGTAATTTACTATTGTGACAGTTAGTACTGCAAATACTTAAAACACAAAGTATATCATGCCTGATCTGGTGCAATCCAAATATTTATCTTGTAGTCTAGATAGATCCTATAATGTAAATTATATAGATTTATAAGGCAGTATCATTTCTACTTAATGCCATTAACCTAAATTTTTCACATGCACTTCTCAATTTCCTTTAATACATACAAATAGCTCTCAAGTATACTTGGTACTTGATACTACGAATCGTATCTGTTCAGTCCTTTCTTCCTTTACGTTCTAAAATTGCCGCAATATATGCTTGTATACACAGTATATATATATATATATACTCGATATCTGAGGATTCAATAAATGATATATTAAATAAATTCTCCTAGTTTCAACTGACGTCATCATGGTGACGTCAGTTGTCATGGCTACCATTTCTACTTCCATGAACTGTATCTTCCTAACAATAATCTTGCTGTATATTCTATGATGTAATACTATCACGCCTAGCTTCCCGTTCAGGATATAGAGAATAATTAAAACTTATTGTCAATCTCAGACCTTAACTGACAAACTTTACTGATAAGATACGATAGCGTATTAGGTAATTAAAAGCCTACAAACCATTTTAATTAAACGGTAATCATACATTTCTCTTATAATATTGTCAATCTCAAATTACTGTACTACGTTGATAAATATATCCCTATGTATGTTTGTCCGAAATAATGCTGTAAACTTAGGATTAAGTTCTCTAATTAAAGTCAATTATAAGTGTGATTGAACTTACAATAATAGTATTAATATCTTCCAAACACTATCATTAATTATTATTTACAGTATAACGTTAAAACAAAACTTAAAACATTTCCTAGCTATTAATCACGAACAAATTTTATTACTTTCAGAAAAGATCAATACAAATAGATCGATTAAACCCTTAATGTTAGCAATTTTACTGAAACGCATTCATTAAAATTAGTCGTTAAAATTAGCCATAATGCCAGCAGCAACAATCATTACTCCTGATAACCCAATTTCATCCGCTAGTATTAAAATCGTTCGATTTTATTACATCTGTGTTGGATGTATCTTAACTGGCATAGCGACATTTATTACAGGAATTATCGGGGCAGCCGTAAATTACGGTAATTTTGCTGCAAGTGCTGGAACCGGAATATGGACCTCAATCTTTGTAAGTAATCAGAGTATTTTCAGTATGGTATAATTAAAACACAAGTATAGGTTATGACTGCTTATTGTTGTCCAGGACGAGATTTACTGTTACATAGTAAGTTCCATTTTGAGTACATCATTGCCTTATTACAGTATTAAGGCAAAATTAATATCAATTCATAATATTACTATAAAATAATATATTCCGTACTAGAGCTGAAGGACAACGTAATTATTAATCATAGCCACCATATTTACCCTTGTTGTACTGTCCTCAGCCTCTTGTACGCGTATATGGAATAAAATATCAATTGTAAATTCTACCATAAACTTGTCTTAAAATTAAATTTTTTAGATAACTGAAGTCTCTAATTTTAGTATAATTATCAAATTCAAAATGTTTATTTATAGTCTATTAGAATTAATGCTTCATCAATGACTATACTATCCTTTTCGGAAATTAAAGAGAAATGAACCATTAATTCATACCTTTCTCAATATCATATAGATAGAAAAACTACGAATAATTTTGCTTTGCTTCGAATCAATTTGATAAATATACTCATAAAATTTTTATCTTTAATTATTACGAGAGAATTTTATTTGGAGCTACTGAAATAATTACATCTGTATAGATGTAATTAATACTCGTATGGTTCAGAATAAAGCTGCATTATTTCATTAGCTACGGGATACAAGATGATCATCTGAGTTAGTCACTATAATTTGCTCGATACTGATGGTCGACAAATAGCGAAATAGTGTTATAAAGGTGATTAATCTTTATTTTTTGACCATAACTCTATTGAATTTCAAGATGTCATCACGATAAAAATCAGTTTTTGGTTTAAACTTTAAGAATTAATTTGAAGTTTTAGAGATGGTTGTTATTCCACACTTGCTATACGGTTTCTCCCCATACTATGAGTATTACCGTAATTAAAAAAAATGGCATGGAACGAATTTGTTTTCGAATATGGTTTCTTTCCATAAAATTAAATGAAGATGCTAGTAATTCATGATGACTATATTATTCGAAATTGAAACCTCTCAACCCGCTGTATACCTGTTATACGCATGCTACTCGTGAATACGCCTTTTTCAACTTTGATGATCACAGTTGCATACTTTGTCAAGTGGTAGTAATATCATATACACTTTAAAATCTTTCAAGTCACACCTGCAAAAACATTAAAATATAAAAGCATGGAAAGAATTGCTACCGCAATGATTTTTACTGCAAGAAACACAAATATTGGCATCTAAGATTCAATTGCGACAAAAATTTACATTATTAATCATTAGTTTATACTATCCTAGGCTAACTTACATTATCAATAGTTTTAATTTATTGAAACTCTCATTTTATAATACATCTTATAACTTATTAGTCACTTCAATAAATAATAATTTAATAATTAGAAAACTAGGCCAAGATTTATTATCAGATTAGAGTTACTTCAGAAACACTAATAATTATACATATTACCATTTATAGTTTATGTATACTATAAATACAGCATGAATTTGTATGTTTATGTATGCGTATATAATTATTGTAAATTTATTTATCTTCAAGTAGTAAACATTTAGATGCTGAATTCTAATTAGCTACCTTTAGATCTGCTTATCAGTTATCTTAATTTTATACTTATGGTTATCGCCAGGCTTGCAGGCTATTGCATCAATATTATAACGAAATACTTGCGTCAACGTATACGTTTAAAAATTCATCTTTCCAAACTAAGTTACATATTTCTTTGCATAAATCATATATATGTAGGTCATTGCAGCCGGCGGTTTAGGCATTTTAATTAAGTCTTATTCCAGAAATGATGTTTTAGTAAGTATAATTTATTAAAACTTGATGATTTTATTTATAGAATATTAGGGTTCGCTGCTACCGTTTTTGATTACGCTCTTGTTGGTCATTATAGTTGCTCTTTGTTATCCTTCGCTTTTGCCATTATAGTACCTATTGAACTTATATGTTAGACAGATATTTATTTAATTTGTAAGCTATCAAAATTGTTATTCTATCGATGACTAATTAGCCGATTATAACTCAATATTGAATCTACAGCTTACTCCACAATCAATTAATGTGAGCCAAGTTTGGTGCATTGTAATTTGACTAAAAATTCTTTACTTCCCTGCATTGCTAGTTGCCATTAGGATAATATTAAGAGCTTGATATAATGTATTAATTAAAACTATCGGTATAGTTATACTAACAACCAGAAATTTAAAGTTATTGCTACTAATTTCATCTAAAGCACCATATGTCATAGACCCATGGCACTTACAGTTATGCTGCCAGTTATAGCAGGAACTACTAAAAGAAGAAAGAAACGAGACTATCAACGGTTGTTGACTATATCAATCAATAATGAGGAGGCTGGTTGTTTTACTGACCATTTCAATTGAATCAGATATCTGTAACGGCGCACTATACTATCTACAATTGATATCCAAATTGGCTGCTAGGTTGGTTTTTACAGTATGGTATACGGTTACATTCTTACCGTATATTAGAATGACCGGGAAAATGATAAGCCTCCTCATTATTTTGCACTGACGGCCGTAGCAGTCCCGTTTCTTTCTTACTTATTTAGTAGCTCCTAATTATAGTGATACGAATCTATTTACTATTTAATTGAATATACTGAGATAAAATTTATGGATATATATGATATTGCTGACAAAAGACCAGTTCTTTTCGTACACATTTTATAGAAATATCACAATTAGATAAGCACAAAGATTACAATCACGTAAATTATAGTTTGTTATCAATGGTTATCGAATTGCTGTTTGTAAATGTAAAATATTGATATATCATCAAATGTTTAAAAATTATATTAACCATAAATGATACCATCAGACGCACTGTCCTGAAATCAGTAAACATCGTCACAGTAATATTTTTACAGACAAAAAATAGAAATGCACTATATTTTAAATTATTTGGTCTTAATTTTAATGGATATATGATAGCCATACGTAAAGACACGACCTTAGGCGTACCGATATATGTATTAAAAGGTTTTCCCTCATTGATCATTTTTTGATTTAATATATGTTTTACTCATTTCAGTTAAAATTATTTCTCACGACGACGATCTTAGCGGTTATGTTTAGTGGACTCATGATTATCCTGTTCATAGTTGCTCTTTCTACATATGCACATCCAGCCTCAGTACCATATTCGGCCGCAGCTATAGCTTTTGCAATTTTCAATTTACTGCTGACAGGTAGACTGTGCAAGATATACAGTGAAACCATACAAAGCATAACTGCTGTAAATGTAAGCTTTACATCCTATAATTGCTTCCTATCGTAATTATGGTAACACCTAACCCCGCCTTGCAATATTTTAATTTTATGAAGTTTAATAATAACACCTTTTTCTTTAACAGGCCACACGAAATAATATTCAAGCAATCTCAACCCAACAATCAATGCTAGAGCTACTTCAGCAAACGAATCAACAAGCGACAGCTATACCACCTAGTTACTCAAATGAACCTCCTCCAAGTTATGCTTCAAGTGTTACAATGCAAAATCATAACTCGAATGTTTTTCATCCAAATTCAGCATTTAAAACGACAACTGTTGGGAGCCAAAACATACAGCTACCGAATATTCCTCAAACTCAACCACCACCGTATTAATACAGCTAACATTCTACAGCAATAAAGTATATCTATGACTTTAGAAGATATACTATATCTATAATAAATAAAAGGAATGAGCTATAACATTCTTGATTAAATTAATTTATTTACAGCTACTAAATATATGATATGTTATGTCACTAATCGTAACGAATCACTTTTTTTTAATTGTAATATTTTTGACAAAATATTCAGTGCTTCTTAAATATATATAGTTGAGATGAAATAAACCAAGTCAGTTTACACTATGAATATTATTTAATCCATTACCGCTATGAATGAGAGTTGCAATTGCTCCACACAATTAGCAGTCATTAATTGCTATAAATAGTCGAAATTTTTAATCTGACTCAAGTTATCATCTTCTTGCTATCTTAGATTTAGCATATACCAAAGCTATTAATATTATGAAAAGCATTTATCCGTCAGAATTTCGTCTGATCACCTTTAAAGTTAGTAGATAGCTGACAAGCAATTGTAGCAATGCTATGCTAATAATCGTCTTTCAATTTCTTTTTCTTTGAAGCAAAGCTCGTATTTTTATAAATGAAAATATTTCTTAATTTAAGAATTTGAATGTTGACTGAAGATGTCCACAAATGTTAAATTAAAGGTTATTTTATGTTGACTTTGCAATAAATATCAGCTTTGATTAATAACATTGCATATATACATTAACTACGGACTACTATAGAGGCAATATTTTAATAATCGAAATCAGCATGCGATTGCACAATATGTGGCGATCTCAGACCAGATGAATCATGATAACCTAGCTAATAAATTTAGAAATCAATCGAGAAGATAGAGTAACTTCTCTAACACAAGAAATTGCAATATTTTATAAACTTAGTACTGAATGAGCGATGACAACAAGCTAATGAAATTTGAATAATTCTTGCAATGCATGTTGTCAGCTTTTAACTTATAATTCTAATAAGTGTTGAGTATGATATAAATTAGATTATTGACTTTCTTTATTCTTCGACTAATGTTGTGCAGTAGTATATCATTTTCGCAACTGGAAGGCTTAAATTGTACTATGGTGCCACTAAAGCTTTAGAATTCAACTCCTGTAATATGTGATAAAGTTATAGATTGAGTAGATAATGCGAACAAACAGTGATGAACTCAGGATTTAAATACAATTTTCTATGTTATGAAGGACCGTAACTCCTAAGATATCTCCTTGTATTCCCAAGCAGGCATGGGGTACCGTACGAATTAAATTCGAACCATCATGTGATGAAACTGTGACTTTGCAATGGTTATTTTACAGCTGTCATTCATTTTCAGGAAAGACATTCGATGATGTATCACAGCTGCAGCCTAGACATCGTGTGGCATTTTCTATAACATTGTACAGTACATAGGTCTGTTTAAGGTCAATGATCTATACTATGTATGGATGTATATCCTAATTCGAGAGCAAAATCCAAATTTCTGTGATGATTTAACTGAAGATTTCAAGATGTTAGTTGTTTTGCAATCATGTTATAAGAACCAGTAGCTCCTTTATCAACTAAAACATAATACCCACAACAAAAACGATACATCAAGTTCATAGCATTTTATTATAGTAACGAAAATCTTAAAAACATAATTGAATAAATCAGTAACAGTTTCTGTGCGAATGTCGGCAATATACACCATATCTTAAATTATAATATATAACATCCTACTAGACCTAAATGCAAAGATTATTAGCAAGTGTGCAGTTAGCGTTACTTGCAATTACATTACAGAAAGGGAGTGCAAAGTGATACATTCTATTATGTACTACCCGCAATAAATAATCGAAACAACTACTTACGCTTACAATTCACCTGCAGTTCCAGTATCAGCATTGAACTCCTATGATCAACATTGAGTTTTTAGTTACCATATAGTACAGTATCTTGAATTATTGATGCAGAATAATATCGTTCATGAAAAGGTTGCGCTGTAGCTACCAGTCGATAGTGATACCTCTGCCACTGACTCGATTCTAAGGGACTAATCCAATATTCTACTAACAGATATCTATCAGTTTGCTAAAGCTAAAGCAAAGATATAATTAATGGCACGTAAGCCAATATTATGACGAGAAGTGTAATCAAATAACTGTAGCCACTGCAGCGTCACACTGGAAATGTCTACACATCATTGATCATTACTTTTTCCATATCGATAACATTATTGCTTCTCTTTTTTGTAGAACCACTTTTTCGGTTAGGTCGAGTGGATTTCATCTGTAATAGCTAAGGCGACACAGTGGATTAAAATCTTACACGGAAAGGTTCATATCAAAAATAATAATGAAATAGTGAAGAAGCAAGATTAATCACGATATAATACATCCATGTTGTAATCACCTGAGCTATAAAGAAACTGATACACTTGTAATAATCAGGACAAAGCCAAGTGCCATTATGCGAACCATTCTCGAATCTTACAATCCTTTTAAAGATTGCACCGGATTTCTGCGACAGATTGAATAATACCACAATCACAACAAAGACTAGTTTATGACAAAAGGTAATCACAAATGATAGAGACACTTAAGGGTACGAGAAATGCACGTTACAATAGCTAGTAAACGTTGCATGACTTACGTTGCAAAGTTCTGTCATCATCCGTGGTGGTACTAATTCGTCAGATAAACCAGACAAGAATAACGTAGGCACACGTACACTTTTTACGATACTCTTGGAATTGAACTAGTGTCCACATGAAAGTAAAGATAAAATTAATACAATCTATTCTAACATTATACGTATTGCCTATTATCCATTTAATAGTGGAAATAGTGTTGTAATGCATTATACTAAATACCTTATTTCGGAAGCAAAACATGGGGAGCAAACGTAATGCACTAAATAATACTTCACCCATTGCAGGGATACTTGTGAAACTATTCTCTACTATTAATCCACGTATAGCATCCGTATACAATTGCTGACAAGCTAAATCAATACCCACAGCACCACCAAGTGATCTTCCAAAGACTATAATCATGCTAGCGTCAATATCAGTTCTGTCGCGAAGATATTCAAGTCCTGCTCGAGCATCTAACTTTAGGCCTAAGTGTCAAAGTAAAATATCGCCAATTTCAATAAAGCAATACATAAAGCACCATAATGTGCATTTTAGTTGTCATTTTGAGTAACTAATAATTCATCTTTTTCGGGCTACATGACTATTAGCCGAGTAATGTATCTAAAGTAAACTACTTGTCATCAATCCTATTACAAACGAGTACACATTCTTAATCTACATAGAATCTGGTTGCTGGTATGATGCTGTAGGCTGTCGACTAAGCGCCAACTTACCATTTTCACTTGGTACTCCATCACTTTTACCATAACCTCGATATTCTAACAGCATGACATTGACTCCACAATGATGATATAATTCCCTAGCAAATGGCAATCGATGGCCAATATTGCCAGCGTTGCCATGGATAAACATAATGGTCGGCGCAAAAGGCAACCGTACCGGCGGTTGTTTAATGAAAACTGCATTAATACGAACACCATCAGCAGTCCTGAGATATAAATTTTCAGATGGTAACCCAATTGTATAAGGCTGCTGGACAAACATACGCGATGATGAAGGTTGATCAGGGTAATAAAGTAACGAATCCTGATATTGATATAATGTACCCAGTATAGCTAAGCAAAGGAGGAGAAATATTGTAAAGTCACCATAAAACCAATAAGCCAACAGAAGCAGCAACAATGCTGCACTACTACTACGCCATATACTGTGTATAAAATTAGTTGCAAAATGGATGATACGATCGATGAAAACAAATCCGTGGCGTCTCATTTCTTTCAAATGGCAAATCCAGAGTTGTGTAAAATTTCGATTAGTTATGTCGAATAGTTGATCATCCTGGTTCTTCCAAGATGATCTTGCAATTTGTTGGCCAGAAAATTCAAAAGTGTTCCATCAAGGTAAAATCTCTCCAATGCAATTCCATCTTTTCCCCCTATACCTTCATCACAAGATCAACGACAACGCTGTAACATCCTCATAAAAGGAAGTTATCCTTAAAATAATATAAATAAAAGCAAAAACAAAAATCCTCCTTATTATTTTTTGCTGGATGCTCAATTTGCGAGTGTGTTCTGCAGTGGCGGAACAGTCTACTGCGTAGTAGAATGGTGGTACCCAAGTGATTCTTCACACCGCATATTAAGTTCATAAATTCAATCCTAAGGAATTGCAAGAGTAGAAAATTGATTACCGTGGTATCGTTGGGTCGGACTAATCACACTGTACTGTACCCTGAGTGTACAGTGTACAGTGTACAGTACAGTATAGCAGTCTCCAGTACTGTAAATTACCGGTTCTAAAGTACTGTACACTACAGTACTGTACAGTAATCCGCCATACTGTACATTCTAGTATCTGTCATGTGATTTACAGTGCAGTGTACTGTACTGTACATGTACATACTGTAAATTACAGTACAGTATACTGTAGACCAGTTCTGGTATTACTGGCCTCTGTCTATGTGGTTCTCGTGTAAAATAACCGAAATGAAATTTCTGCTACTTTTCAGAGTTTCAAGACGAGTCTGAATCCATCAATCACTGAGTTTACGATCAAGGAAAAGGCAGTGCTGCAGACGTTGTACTGTCCATTATAATGCTATATTATGGTAGTTGAGGTCGTAAAGACGCCAGTAGATTCATGAGGATAGAAGGATATTTCTTAGAGAATCACCAATACACGCGAACAAGTGTTGTTACTAGGATAGAAATAGGTCATCAGAGAAATTTGACCTCGCAGATGCATATACAATGATAGTGACATACAGTAGATCAAGACTGGTATGCTATGAAATAGGAATGCACCGAGTATCCTCACGGTACTGGCAGTGTTGATATATCCAGTTATGTAGACACCAGACCATGATGATTTCAAACTGTAGTCCTTGCCTTAAGCGTAGCGACAGACTTATTCGTTTTCGGTCATATATCAGTGTCATTGAAGGAGTTCGATTGGCTCGATACCTCTATGCTTGATATATGTTTTATAACGTATTTTCCGGATACTGATTTTGATTAGCCTTAATGTCAACTTTTTTCCTTCAGATCACCACGATAATTTGGAATAAATAAATAAAATAAATAAATGAATTAATTATACTGTACAGTATAGATGAATAGAATTATCTCTGTCACGTAATAAGAATTAAGAATTAATTATCGCCTGTATGTACTGTACACTTGGAACGATGCTGATAGGACTAGAGATTTCAGTACTGTACCTGTAAGACAACGACTGCAACTCTGTCAGTATCTGTGTGCCATCGTTGATAGATCTAGTAGTCCATGACTAATTTAGGAGCCCGGCCGTCAGATGTGAAACTTTTGTTACACCAATATCAGTGAAATGGTTCATTTATTTACTTATGGATTCATCTTACATCGAATTAAAAATAATTTAGCAGTAAATAAAATAAAATAGCGCACCAAAGAAACAGCTGTTATGTCGTAGAATTCCAATCAAATTATTACAGTTGAGCTAGTGCAGCAACCGTGTCAATCATATTAATGATTAGTAAGCATTACTATGGATAAAATAAATCCGATTGGTGCACCGGTTCAAAGTCATTTTTATTGCAATCATTTCTTAATCAATGGACAGATCATCAACATTGTTACAAATCTAAATTTATAACGAGAAAAATGGAAACAACTACTAGAAATACAACGTTATTATCAATCTACTGTCAGGTTTATCCTCGCCATCTCTCCTACTACAGTGCAGCTCGAAATACTGACATTCTTCCATTATTAAACAAACAAGAACGGTAATGTCATTAGGCTCTCTAGCGACAAACTAAATTCAAACCTTATCGAAAAATCAGCCAGTTTATAGTAAATCAACATACAGTCAACAACAATTAACAGTTCATAGACAAATACGTGTTAATAAAACCATACATTTATCTATAAAAGTATGTATAACGTCATAGATAATCATATATTCTCAATAAATACCAAAATACGCTATCTGACGAAAATTGGGATCAGCTATAACAGTGAGCAAAAGTAACTTCGTGATAATTACCCCCCCCCCATTGCAATCATGGTGTACTCATCCTTTCCCGGTAATCTTTCAGTTTGTGCAAGACGGCATAGGCTAAATTTCAAAAATTGACATCATCCGCCAAAATGACACGTTGTATTATGTTAAGTGTCTAACAACAACTTCAACTAGAGTGAACTAGCAAGATATTAATAAAGCTTTTTTAGCCAAACTGACGTATACCTCGTATGTCATGAATCACAATTTAAAAGACTTAAAAATCATACAAGTAGAACTGCCTAACTGAAAATAAGAAATGCTAATACATTTCTATACTAGAAAATATTTCTGTTAAGATGTTACAGTACAGTAAATTAAAAAATAGTGAGTTAACAGTTAGATGTTTTACTTCAAATGCTTCTAGAATAGTTCAACGCCTGATAAACGATGCGTACCAGATTGATTAATACAATATACCATGTATTAGCTAAAAATGGTTATCGCAATTCTTTTTCCCTAGACTCCGTTAGCAATTATCGCATACTCCTGAGATTATAATACCGTGGCATATTAGTACATTTGATTATGATATAACGTATAGTAGATAGTATCAATTTTATAATTCAAGCTCACTCGACTTATTTCAACACTTATAGCTTGATAAATTCAAAAACTTATCCTACAAGTTTCTTAATATTCTTTGGTATAAACAAGTCTACAAAAAATAAAAAGCCTATAACAATTGACAACTATATAAAAGTGAATTTTATTATTAACTTAAAGAATCATATAAACACTGAAAGGAAATAAGGCAAACACTAAGCTCCATAACAGTCAGTTTTTGAGATAGTTAATACAGGCCCGAAATATTAAATTGGCCGTCTAAAGTTACAAATGTAGACACAAGGGACATAATTATTGTGAAACGTATTGAATTACAAAATATTTATCATTGATAGATGTTAATATGTGTGAAATACAAGCTGAAGCAATTAACAATTTTAGTAAAATATTATTATTAGACGTATTAAATTATTAGCGAAACCTAAAAGTTGAACGACATCACAAGTATGTAACTAAAACTTACCGCGGCAGATCTGTAAAAGAGAACTACAATGAGCTAAACATCTAGATGTTATTAGCCCGACAAATTGTAGTAATAGTTAGAACAGCAATACAATTAACCATTATAAAGAGTATATAATTATATTAATTTTATATTTCCACGTTATAAATTTATTTTGTCTATGTTTGAATCTTATACTATTGAGTCTAATTACGGTATCCTGTAAGCGTCAAAGCCTTGATGTGATTTACTAGCTCTAGTTACTTTTAACTATGATAATTAATTCAGATTGGCAAGTATAGTAATGCTGACATATCTTAAAAATAGGGATAAATAATCCGTTTAGTCTAGTAATATATATTAACGGAGCTAATATGTTTATAACGGTAAATTTAGATTAATGTAGTTTTAATGTACTAGAAAATAAATTAAAATTGGAATCTGTATAATATAAGCAATATATAGTTCTCGTCGATAGCAGTTGAATCGCTACCAAATTTAACGTAATATATTATCATAGCAACGTAATTAGTGAATTCAAAAAGGAGACAATAAATACAAATTTTAAGTCAATTCAAAGTAAATAAGACTTTCAGAATTTTATTCCTGACGTCGTAGAATCTTTTCGTGCTCCGGTAATTGAAATGCTTGATCGGCAATATACATAGAGCAACATCTTCAATGCAAATACTAAAATGACAAATCGCTGTGATTGATAATTCTCCACTAATTATTAAGCACAATCAAGACATTGCACACGTAGATATCACTTTCGGCAAATAGAAACTAATAAATACCACTTATTTCACAATCTAGCAAAGTGGCCTGCACCTAAGATTGACGCAATAATTATTTATACTAAATTAACGTCGGAAAGTCTATCTTATCTAGCATAGCCATACAATTCCCAGATAGGTTAGGCAAATAAATTTCACGAAATGAAATATAATTCGAAACAGCACGGATAGATAACAGTAATACAATAAGTATGTCTAACATATCGCTAGGTGCTTTACCAGGTGCTAGTTTCAGCGAGAACGAAGTGAGCGTCTGCTTACAGAAATGTAGCAATGATTGAAATTGCTTTTTCAATCGTAGTATCGTTAATTTTATATAATTATCACACTGGATAAATCTGATAGAAATTTAGATCGGCCATCATGCAGTTGTTGTTTTCTCATTAGTTACCGGTGTCCTGTCAGTATTAAGTATATTGCTAGCCGATTTGCTTTTAAAACTTTTAGTAATTTCGTGGCTTATGTCCTTGTTATAATAAGCGTATAAAAGTGGATTTACAGCTGGATATGAAAATGCAATCAATTGTGTAATATTACTATAAGTATACACCCCTTCACTGGCAAATTTTAAATCATTAATTAGAAATACTACTGTGGCCATGACATAAGGCAAAAAAAATATCAAAAAAGCGCCTATAATTAATGCAACTTGCAATAAGGCTTTTCTGTTTTGAATAATTAACGATTTCGGTTTATTAGTTTCGGTTGTGGCTACAGTTAATGAATGTACTTTTTTGGCATGAGTAAAGACCACAAATAGCATTGTTCCGTAAGTCATGATCAGTACCGCTAATGGAAATAAGAATAGAACAAAAAATATAAATAACAAATAGATCCTCCAACTTAAAATGAATAGCTGGGTAGGCGATAAAGTTCCTGGAGTCACAGATACTGTTGTTGTTAGATTTGATTGAATAGTGCTT